CTTATATAAATATAATCACGATTTGTAACACATTAAAAAGTTTAAAACAAAAAACAAAATATTTTTTGCACACATTTTTTTATACAACAATATATTTACATTAAGGATGAAAAATTTGGTTGTGTGAAATTGCATTTCTGCCCATATTTCTTATTCATGTTCTGTTTTAATTAGAGGGTTAAACTGGTAATTTCATAGGATTTTAGTTGACAACGAGTTTTTTATTAATTAGTAAAGATTATTATTATTATTATTATTATTATTATGTATATATATAAAATGAGAGCCCCAATTTGGTGAAGCATTTGATAAACCAAAAATGCCCTCACTTCATACACTATACCAACGTTAACTGTCCAATAAAATTAGGGTCAAAATTGTAATATAATACAACGAAATTCTACTGTGCGAATAATATATGCACTCATCTGAACAATGACAATTTTCAACCACTAGATAAAAATATACACACTTAAAATTCATTGTGACCCTTAGATCAATCCTCCCACAAATACTGCATCACATTCTATCTTTCCACCAAAACCAAAATAACAAGTAAATTGATAAAAACTGACAAACACTCCCTCCAAATTAGAGTAGAACTGTCAAACACGTTGTCGCACAAAACAGAACACCGGTTGCAGCAGTTGCAAAGATCGGAGATAGAACCGCCAATCTACCACACGTTCTAGAGGGGATAGCGATTATTCCAACCCCAAATGCACAGAAAAGAGGAAGAACTCACTTTCGTCTTCTGCACAAACCTCTCATCCACGTGTTTTTCCAGAGTTTCTTCTGCATCCACACTCAATTTACACAAATTCAGGTGATTTTTTTTTTCATAATTTCTACCCTCCAATTAAGTAATATTACCCACATGAATCTGCTTTTCCGTTTGTTTTGTTTATTATTCTATATAATTTAATAAGGAAATTCGAATCATTGATGGCGTAGGATGGGATTGCTGGGCGTTCAAAATTGCTCAGTGATTAGTGTTTAATCGACCACACTGCTTATATTATTTAAACTTAATTGTTGTCATATGGGTTTTTCTGGATTCCATTTCTCTTATTTATGTGATTTGAGTCAGTGGTAGTCAGGTGCATGCAATGAGAGACATTTGAGGCTATAGCTGGGAATTTGGTTTCTATCAAATTACTTCTGCAATTGGTCAGAATTTATAGGAGTTACTAAAATTACCCCATTACCAGTTTCTGTTTTACTGTAGTTGGTAATGATTTGTAAGCAGATTGTACATTGAGGTAATGTGTGAATTGAATTCTGATGGTTAAACTAATACGACAAACTGGTAAAAAACCATCACTGAAAAAAGATAAAGCATCACAACTGTAGAGTTTTGCCGAATGAAGAATTAGAACCGCGACGTGGGATTCAACCACCCTCCACGTTCTGCAAACTACAAACCAGATTGACAAAGACTCTTCCTCTACAGAGAACGAGGGGAGGGAGAAATAGAGATACATATTGACAAAGACTCTTCCTCTACATCGACTGATTCTTATCGCAGGTAACTTTCAAACTTGATTCTCAATTTTCTATGTATTCCTTCCAGCGTTTGTTCAAACTTTCAAACTTGACTCTACTCGCCGTGATCAACAACTGCAGCTTCTTGAAACAGCCTTTCACTCGCTATAAACGACAAGTGTGGCTTCTTTACCAGTATGTTTATTAGTCTCTTTTCTAATCAAATTCATTGCCATTAATTAACTGTTTCTCATCGATCATTCATTTCTGATCATATTTTCAATTTCCGTTCTATTCCGATTTATACATCTTTTTCAATTGTGTATGAATTATTTGCTTTGATGAAGCAGAATTAGATTTGCGTTCATATTCAATTCTAATTAATTGACGATGTCCTTTGAGAGCGAGCCCAAACTATCTAGCGATTCGATATAATCGGAGAAAGATTTTCCAGGGTGAACCATATCCTTTACCCGACTATTGAGCCATACAGTTTCTGGTTTCTTAAGGTTTCGGATATCCACTCAATCTTTTGGGACCTGTCTGGAAATCCCCACAGCCATGTGACTTGCGATTCTTCTTCTTAATAAACGACTTAGTTTTTGCATTTTTTGTTCGAATTCAAAGTTTTTTTATACAAATTTGAAGCTTTTCTTCAAGCTTATTCATTATATAGATTCCGAAATTTTTAAATCCTCTCAAAGTAGTAGGGATTTGGAAATGAACTCTGCTAGAGAAGGCGGCTTGCGTTGAAATTACCACAATAACAGTGTTGGGTTGGGAATTTTTTACTGGTTTTTTATTTAATATGTTTTGAATCTTATCTTGCAGCCTGTTGTTTTTCTTCATGGGGTTCAGGAGGAGGAACTTCACCAAGTATTCAAAGTAATCAAAGATTCTTCAATCCCGAGTTTACCGATCATTCTGTTTGATCAGGTTGCTACTTCACCCTTTATGATAAGTTATTAGATGCATTTTAGTGTGTCCTGCATTTGATAACTGAGTTATTTCGTTATTGCTAGAAAGGTAAATTTTACGCTAGATTGCGATGCAAGGTATGTAACTCGATAGTTTGATGAGTTTGAATTATTTTTTTTATTAGGGCTGTTGCTACTTTTTTAATTACGCTTGACAATTAGCCTGCTTGATCAGGGGTATGATCGTTGTGAATGCCGTATGATTGCAATGGCAAAATTTTATTGATTCAAGTGTGAAATAGATAAACAAATAAGAAAAAACCATGTTCATGCGTAAACCATGTCATTGTCATTGAAAAAACTATAGGTAACCCTCTAAAAATTAATAGATGAAGTCAATGGAATTGAGAGCTATGTAATCCAAGTCCCAGTTGCATATGTTATTGGTGCATTCAAGAGCTAGCTAATTGAGGAAGAAATTCAGAGGTTGATGTAAGTTGTCTGCAAAGCATCATAACCTAGGGTTGAAGCACTTAGCTTTTCTCTACCCTCTTCCATATAATTAGGATTACAAGTTGTTTTAGATATTCAGTTAATTTTGAAGCCCTTGTCAACGTTTCAGTTGCAGAGTTTGATTTATCAATTATCTGCTAAATGCATAGAATTTCATCTTTTTTACTTTCAATTTTGGGTCAAATGTTGGGAAATTTTTACTGGTTTTTTTATATAATATGGTTTAAATCTTATCTTGTAACCTGTAGTTTTTCTTCATGGGGTTCAGGTGGAGGAACTTCACCAAGTATTCAAAGTAATTAAAGATTCTTCAATCCCGAGTTTTACCGATCATTCTATTTGATCAGGTTGCTACTTCATCCTTTATGATAAGTTATTAGATGCATTTTAGTTTGTGAAACTAGGAAGGGCATTCTTTTTGCTTAGTTGTAAGATACTTGAGAAGCCGAATATTACACTTAATCAAAGAACCGAAATGGCAATGTGCTATTTCACTTTGTTTCTTTGATGACTCAAAATTGTAATATGATTGAACTGAATGATTACCTGTTTTCATTTGCATCTCCATATTCATTTCTTTCATTTTTAGAATCATCAACTCCATGATTACCTGTTTTCTTTCATATATGTTTTTCTTTTACTAATTTATGTTTTAACTTTTCGTTCTCTTTCAATTTTCGTAAATCTGAGTTTTAGAAAACACATACAATTCATGTTACTAACAAAACTTTTGATGCTTTTACACATTCATTGGGATTGTGTAATGGTACAAGATTATTGTGTCGTGGTAATTACCAAAATCTTATTGATGCTGAAATTCTAACTGGACAATTTGCAGGATCCAGAGTTTTCTTACCAAGAATCCCTCTCAAAAGTACTAATACTGTTGGGCTTCCATTCGAACTTACAAGAAAGCAGTTTCCAGTGAAACTAAGTTTCTCTATCACTATAAACAAATCTCAAGGTCAGACAATACCACATGTAGGCGTTTACCTTCCAAATCACGTCTTCAGTCATGAACAATGATATGTGGCTTTATCGAGGGGGGTCTCAAAGTCAACCACAACCGTGTTAGTAAAAAATGGCTCCATAATTAGCCAACAAGGTGTATTTACACGGAATGTAGTATACAAAGAACTCTTGCTTCATTCCAGCTAATTATGGTGATTTCTAATAGGTAACAACTTTATTAACGATAACCTTTCAGTATGCATTTCTCACTTATCAATTAACTCTTTTTATTTGATTTTTAATTTTCTCACTATCATTTGTAGATTGGCAATGAAAATTTGAAGCATCAATCATGAACAAATGGGTGGAAATTGCAGCATTGATATCAAAATGGAAACTTTCTTTTCAAAAGAAACAGTGACATATAGACTCTATGGGTATTGTGAATAATGTACATATTGTTATGCAAGATTTATATTTTGACATTTAAGTTGTTTTGTATTTTTCTACGAGTAATGTTTTCATCTACTCTTTTTTTTACATCTACTTACTATTGTCCATGGACTTTAGGTAGGAACTTGCGTCTAAAATCCCATGTTGTTTGACAAGTGCATGAATAACATTTAAATCATTATGTTACGGAAAGTAAAAACGGAAAACGTGATAACTTTTTAGGATATGCATGATAAAAAAAGAGTTCCTCTTTGCACAATACATTTAAAATATATCTTGACAATTACGATGGGAAAAACTAACACAATACACCTTTAGGGGCGCGTAGCACCTGTGATGTAATGCCTCTCGCATGCACATTAGTGCGTGCGGAGAGGCCAGTTATTATTATAAAGGGAGAAGGCCAGTTTAGTGAAGCATTCAAAATGTCAAGAATGCCCTCACTTCAGGGAAAAAAAAACACAAAATCATCCTAATAGAATACGGTTAAAATCGTAATACGCAATTATAATAGGGTTGAAATCGTAATACACACAATATAATATTCAAAGATGTTTTTACAACCGTTAGATGAAAGACATCCCCCATTCAAACAAATTGTGACCCTTCAGATGAAAGACCTTCTACAAGCAGTTGCTACAATGGAAACTGGAACCAACCGCACGTTCAAGAGGCCACAACGGCTTACTCAATCCCCACTATTCATAGAAAAAGGAGAAACGAACTCAACCGCACATAGCCGTTTCTCACATCGTCTGATTTATGCTTCTTCTTTGTCTACTTTCATCGTCTTTAATTTCCTATTCATTTTGCTCAGTTTTTGTTCAATTTCGATAAGGTATTACAGCTCAGAGCCGATTTGCAGATTTTAAAAATGGTGGACGCTGGGCAAAAAACGCTTGGACAGGTAATTCAATTTCAATGCCAAGACCGTTCGTTTCTTTTGGATAATTTTGATCTTCTGCTGATTTCGACTGAATTTTAAAAAAGAATTAATTTGCTTAGTTTAATTTGTAGTTGTTCATTTCTGATGAAGAGCTGTGAATGTTATGAATTACTACAGGTTTAAACTAACGATCTATTCAACAATATGAAATTGCTTTGTGTTTTAAGATATTCATCCGAATAAAGTTTCGTTATTTCGTATGGTGGACATCCATTTGCAGTTCGGAGCCGATGTGCGTATTTTGAAGATGGTGTATGCTAGGCCAAAAAGGCTTGGACGGGTAATTCAATTTCAATGGCAAGACCTTTTCTTTTTTTTGAGTAAGTTTGGTCTTTTGCTAATTTCGACCAAAAAAATTTAATTTGCTTAGTTTAATTTGTAGCTTCTCTACTCGAAGCGTCCTCCCTCCTCCTACTACCCCACATCACTCTCTTTTGGAAGAATTTGTTTATGAATTGAGAAATTGAATTGCTACTTGGAAATTCGGAAAATTTATGGTCTTCGTATGGTATTTTAGGTTTAGGATACAGAAAGATTGTGTCTTTGATGTATAATTAATATTGAATTTGATGAACTTGATTAGATTTTGCATTGTTTTAGGCCACTGCATATTAAGTCTGTGATAAAAATTAGGGATTGTTTGTGTGATTTTTTCCGTATTCATAATTGCTCAGCATAATCAAAAGTAGAGTTTTTTTTTTTTGGTATGCTGGTTTTCAGGTACTCTGTATTAGTAATTGCTTATTTCAAAAGGGAATGTGGGGATATGATAGAGATGTAACCAAATTTCCAATCTTCAACCATTAACTTTTTGTATGTAAATTTTTTATCACGATATATTTTTTGGAGTAATTAGTTTAACAATTGATATTTGTTGTTTTGGTATAGGAATATGGTCAGTCAGGCGATGAATATGAGGATTATGAGGACAATGAGAATGGCGAAGAATATCAAGAGGAAGAGGAAAATTTGGAAGAGTTTCACCCCCACTACATTTGCACCTTACAGTTTCCAGTTGGATTGAAATCCTCCATCTTCTTCCATATGCTCACCAGTCTCCTCCAACGGAATATTCAAAAGGATAAACATGGGATGAAACTGTAAAGCAATAGGCAATTTTGCGAGAAAGAACACAAACTGTAGAGCATAATGGGTTCCTTTGTTTCTTTGCAAATGAATGGAGAACTTTAAGGCATTTCTCATGTGGATTTTTCTTATAGAAAAGGTATGGTATTCTGTATGATCTTACCTTCTTTTTTTTTGGAGTGTCGTGTGATTGTTTTCTAATAAACTTAGGCTATCCATGTTTTTTTTCCTTATCTCTTTCCTATGTTACTTACTGTAGGGATGCATCTGAGTGGTTTTACATGAAATCTAAATGGGAAAAATAAAAATAAAAAATCCTTCTGAAGATAACAAAATGTATACTTATGGCAAGAGGATCAAAGTGCTCCCACACTTCTGATTCTAATGGAATGCACTATGATTACCCAAAAACCTTACACAGTTAAAATAATTGCACTAATTATACAAGAGAAGTTAAACTGTAAATCATATTCAATCATGAGGACAAATAACCCTGCAGAAAATTGTTCATGCCCATAATGTGGTCATCCGAACTTTGTATTGACTGGTCCATTGATTTTTCTGAAGGAAATCAGAATATAGGCATGTTGCTTGCGATATGATTGACATAGTTTAATTAGATTGAAACCAGACATACCCATCTAATGTATATGTTGTATGCATTCATCATCTTTAGGGGCGTGTAGTGCTCATGATTAAAAAAGGCCTCTCACATGAGTGTAAGCGTATGTGGAGATATAAGGTTTTGATCTCCCTCATTTTGATATATGATTGGATTTTTATTGTAGTAGATTCGATTTGGAAAATTACAGTTGCTTTGCTCTTAGATCTCCACGATTGTTTTATCTGTTATTGTTTCATTTCTTTTCATTCCGTGTGTTTTTTTTTTCTTCTTGACTGGCCAGGAACAAGATAAAGCTTTTTGATTGTTTGGATCGACAAGGAACAATAAGCATTTTTGCAAGCCATTTGAACTCCATCTAAATAAGAATTCAAGACTGTGTTGTCTTGCTTAATCAGGTTTTTGTTTTGGGTTTTATATATCTTAATTTCAAACAATTCTATATGGCTTCATTTGTATGCTTTTACTTCAAGTTTGGGTGAGAAGTTGGACGTCTTCTTCATTTGAAAAATAAATAAATAAATTTCCTCTTTTCCATGGTGATCAATGCAAAGAGAATGAACCACTGGAGATCTGCTATGCCAAAGAGAAAACAAGTATGGAAGATGGAGATTAGTTCTTGACTGCTCTCATTGTGGAGGACAGAAGTATAAACATTAAACACAAAGGTTTTTTAATTATATGTGGATTGAGGAGAAAAATATAAGAGTATATGAAATATAATTTTGCTTTCCGTGTGTAGTGAATGGAATAACAAATTTCTATATAATTTTTGTACTTCTGCAAACAAGTACCGTCTAACAGCGAATTGTCAATTTTACCTGCAATTGGTGACAAACAACATTTTTAATGTGTACAACGTTTGACATGCCAATGTCTAAAACCTAATAGAAATTTATAAGTTCAATTAGCATTTGATTAAAAACCAGTGCCCGTAGAGAAAATGATATCAAACCAATGTTTTCGAAGCAGCTGGATGAATTCTAAAAGCCCGTGCTACAAATTGCTTTTCACTGGTAGGATTTCATTTCCTTGCAAACAAAGTTAACTTTCAATTCCAGAGATTCTGGATTCTAATTCAAGATCTTTGGTTTCGTTCTTATCAACAGACAAGGCCTTGATAATTAACGCCCGTAGAAAAAGGATATCAAAACACTTTTGTAATTCATCGTCTCTGCATAAGATTGCAATCACTTATATCTAATACGTACGACCAACAATCAATTCAGTTTTATATTCAAAGCTTCACCATTTTCTCTTGATACATTTTTTCTGCATTTTGTACTGTAATTGCAATCGTACGCATTCCTTTGCTACACCAACTTCGGAGTGAATTAAGGTTTTTTCTGCATTTTGTATTGTACTACATTTTTCTACAAGTTTTTTTTTCAAAAATACAATGTCCAAATTCATTTTAGTTGTACTCTATTTGTAGTGCTGATGTTGCAGAATTTATTGTCATCATTGAATAATGGATTTCAAAGATAACAACATGGGTAATGCTAGGTAGACTAAATTTGTAGACAATATTTGTGATTTTATCTTTCTTAATAGTCGGAAAAATTCAGATTTCATACTTATTTGTTTTGGTGCGTGCGATAAAAAAACATTTGATAATGTGGCACCAATGATAAAAAAAATAATAACAATGGCTACAAATTGGCATACGTGGTTTCGACATATGTAAAAGTTCTTTGGGTGTAACACCCAGAATTACAGAACAATAAGCCTTGACTATGTGCGTTAATTAGAAAGCATGGTTATAATAATAGTTTGTAACACAATCGTAGAGAAAAAAAATATCAAAAAGAGATGATTGAAAAAAAGAAAATAATAAGAAATTGTCATTCTCACATGCATAACCAAAGTAACACATTTTTAGGGGCGCATAGCACCCATGATGAAAAAATATCTCTCACATGTGCATGAGCGCGTGCGAAGAGGCTAGTTATTATGTAAGTAAGCGATCCATCAGTTTAGAACTGCGTGCAAGGCATTCGAGGATTAAATTTTGTAGCAGGCTCGTGTCAGATCCATTTAGTTTCATGATTTATATTTAATAACATGTATACTATAGTCTTTGCATATTTCTGTGTGGCATTGGGTAGTAGCTGGAATTATGAACACAACCGATGTGGAAAACTTGTCAAGGAAATATATTGATTGTGATGTTGTAATGTTCTGAAATTTTGAAATCGTTTTTGTATGCTCAAAATTACCATAATTCTGCACATGTTACTATGCCGTGATGTGATTTATTAAAGACGATAGAGAATGTGTGTACATTTGTCAAATATAACATGTACGCTCAAAAGAAACACAACTTCACAACTACAAACTCATCAGAAATACACTACAATTATGCAGTTATGAAGTATCCACATCTAACCAACATGAAAGACAACACTCGAGAAAATTAAACATTACAAGGCATAGAACTGTCGTAAAAGCACTTTGAGAAAATGACTATACCACCGTCTAATGTTTTGTAATCGTTAAAGCATTGTTATGTGTCACCTATATCATAAATCGAGCTTCGTTTTCAAATTCCTTTTCCATGTATACATTGTGACAACCCGTCCCGAATTATTATATATTTTCTCCCCGAGAGTGTAAAATGACGATAATGCCCTCGTGGTTTAGTGATGTGAATGTACATATTCAGATTTAAATTGATTTTCTTGCTGACGTAATTAAATCGTACTCGACATCATGAGCGCGTTGCCGCGAATTAGGGTCGAATCGGTTCCATAACGAAAATGTTACGATGATTTTAGAGCGAGACTTGGTGGAAATATTAATTTTGGTTGGTTTCATTTATGTTTGGGCCACATAACATTTTCTCTTCCTTTCTCTCATGGCAACCCAATCAAGGCTTGTTGTTATTTCTTTTTGGCCAATCCGTGACCACACATATACACACACACACACACACGAACGTACACCCATACCCTCACCCTCTCCTTTTTTCTCGATTATTCTCTGTCCGTACACCCAAAACCCTCACACACACACACACACACACATCCACTTTCATCAAAACGCTTCAGATCGAACATAGACTTGACACCATCATATTCCTCCTGACCTCACGAGTCTACCCGTACTATTAGTTCAAAGATTAGACGTCGAGAACCCGAGAAACCCGAGCTCCAGCGAGGGGTCCAATTTCCTCTGACGTGATCGCGAAGGATTTATCTGGTTTTGAGACTCAAGAAGGTACTAATCTAACTTCCCTAGTATTTTGGAACAATTTTGGAGTGGTTTGAACATCGGAACACTCGGGTTTGCGAAGTTGCAGGTTTAGCTGGATTTTCCAAGCTTTATTCCAATCACGTTCCATTGATTTTAGGACTCCTCACAGGTAAGGTTATGTTCTACTATTTGAGGGCTTCAAATTCATATAAAATTTATGAATTTTGGTGGAGAGATAACAAAGATATTGAAGTTTGAAATTTCTCCAGTTTCCGGCGTAACAGACGGCAACCGGCGACGGCGACGACGAAGCCACCGAAGAAGGAAGAGAATATTCCATCAACTTTGACGGAAATACTGACAGCGTCAGGTAACTCCATTAGTTTTTAAATGGAATATTTTGTTATTTAACGGAATATTCCCTAACGCCGTTAGGGATTCCGTTAGTGTGCCAAGCACGTGTCTGCGAGTGGCCGGCATGTGTGGCCGTGCCTTGGTCTGCCGCGTGAGGGCGTGTGAGTCGTCCAAAAATTATTCTAAAAATATGGGGGTGTTCGTGTTGTCGAATAGATCACGTTGGTATATTCAAACACGTCATTTGAGGAACGTATGAGAAGTTATTCCTAAGGTTTGTGTATGTGCTTTAAAATTAATGTAAAATTAGTTATTTTGCATATAGGTGAGACGTACCCTGAGGACGAGTGTGGACAAGCAAGGCTAGGGGGCTACGATCCTACTACTTATCAGTGAGTGGGCATTTTCTTTATATATATATATATATGATATGGTTTCCAGAACGTTTTCTTAAATGATTTATGCTTTGAATGCCATGTCGTAATGAGTTGCACTTTGAGTATTGCACTATTATACTTTTGAATTATATTGTGTGATGCTGTGGAGACTCAAGTAAACTTCAGGTGAGTATGATGTGATTGAATGGGTTGTGTTGCATTGGTATCCATATATTTATTTAGAGCTTATCAAGGCTACACCAGGTATTAGTGCTCCTGCCTGGGGATTAGGGCACAGCCTTTACGTGATTGTTCACCTCCCGCACCACACGCTCACCTTGGATCCAAGTTTGGTGTCAGCCTATTGTACAGACCACAATAGGTGGTTTCAACTCGTCGGTGACCTGCGATTTATCGCACAGCCTTCACATGATCGTAGCACTTGAGCGTGTATATTTTTACCTAGTCTATCGTTCATGTCACATCAGGTGACTCCGACTCGTGTGCTAGCCTAGGTTGATGGGCTATCGTCCAGTCGTACAAGTCACATTAGGTGACTCCGACTGGCATGTTATTTTATATTGATTCTACATCTAGCTTACATGATTTAAACGTTATGACATGGCATATTTTGGGTTTCACTGCCCTTATGCGTTGTTTTATATATATATATATATATATGTAGCACTATTTTCTGGAAACTATATGAGTTTTACGGTGAGGGGTTATTATGTTCAGAAAGGATAAATGTGTTTTCAAACATTTGTTTTTGCCCACTCACCCTTCTGTTTTGCGCTCCTCCAGGTTCTAGGTTGTTGATCATCTTTGGTGGTTCACAAGGACTTTTCGACGGTTCTGACATATCCATAAATAAGTAGGAATCTTCTCCCTATTTGTATAATTAGTACTTGTAGCTTGATTGAGTTACTTCCACACATTTAGTATTATATGTAGTATAGCTAAGTCTTAGTTGGTTTTTATTTATTCGCATTTTCTTATTATCGTATACACTTCTGTTGAACATTTGGCTACATCACCCTCACATGACTGTCAGCACATCTCGATCGGGATGTGTCATACATGCTATGAAAAACACAAAAACCACTCCCTCAACACGAACAATAGTCGCTAAAAGCTTTTGGTTTGAGTCATAAGTCATGGACAGTACAAGGACTCTCCTAAACAAAATGAAAAAACAAGTACGACAGTAAAGATTCTTCTTGTCATTTTGGAAGAGCGAACACAAGTAAAAGTTAAAGATGATTAAATTAAAAATTGCAGATACCAAATTGAGGATGAATATTCAATTAATCGACCAAGAATATTGTGGCTAGCACGTTCATTTTTCTTGTGCTACCCATATAACTTGTCTTAATATTACACAATCAGCCGATTTCAAATTTGTATCCAAGTGACAAAAAAAATGGTTTCACACTTCTAGAACCCGAAGAAGGAATATTAAAAAGAAAGCGTAAACACATGTAGTTAAAACTTAAACAAACATATTTAGTCACTACTCAAAGAGATTAATTAAACAAACATAGGGAGGTTCGACTTCGACAGGATCCGGAATGCGTGGCGGTGGCGTGCGATGTCAGCCGCCAAAAACGCCCCTCGATTTATTGGAATAGGATTCTAGTTTTTTGTTTTTTATTTTTATCTCATTCTCTCCTCTTTTTTAGTACTTTAATTTTTATCTAATTATTTTTATAAAAATATTATTATAAAACATTGACGCAATTTATTCGTAATTATTTAAATAAAAAAAACAAGAAAAAATGAGA